GCAGTCAAAATTGAACCTGACATGGCTGAGACAGCCCCAACTCCCACCTACTGCTCACAATGCTTTCCTGTGTGTCCCCCTCACGCTGGAATAACACAGCTTCCAGACTCCTACCTAGGGCAGATGGAAGCAGTCTTGAAATACTTGCTGTTTTCTTTCCCTCTATGCCTTTCTCTTGAGAGGAATGACAGTGCCCTGCATTTAGTATGGGGTGGAAGAATTTGCCTTTGGGCTTCCTCCTTGCCCCTGCAGGTTTCCATGCACTTAAATCTAATGGGGAAGCAAACCTGGGACAAAAGGGGAGGTGCTGTCACAGCTTGAGGGGGATCTGAGAAGGGTCATCACACCAGTTCATCCCTGAAGCAGGACGTGCCCAGCGAGAGGAAGGGAAACATCTCTGACACACACTGTTCTCCTGAACAGGCTAAAGGATTAGTCCTTGGATTTGTTTTTCAGATGATCCCATGCTAACAGCTTTGGGTGGATTTGGGCTGACTTCTCGATGTTGAGTCCTTTGACCTTTTTAATCCTTCTGAAATAACCTATTCCTTCTCCTCCCCCTAACTCCCAATCCTGCCAGATCGTTTTTTGTTGTTTTTTTGTCGTTTTTTTTTCTTGGACATGTTTTGAGAGCTTGCAGCAGCTTTTCTGGTAGGCTGAGTAATTAGATGGCAGCTCTGTCTCCTTCCTCCCACTGGCCTGTACCTGAGGCTACATGTAATCTCAGGGTGCTCCTTTGATGAGTGTGTTAGACTTCCAGTTTGAAAATGTTTCAGTGCTAAATCCAATTTTAGTCTTTTATAAAAATAATAAGGAATACATCTGACTTCTTTTCCCCTATTTTAACTTCTTCGTTCCTCACTGTAGCTGGTAGGCCCAAAGGGTTGTTACGAAGTTCTAAAAGAGAAAGGAAAGAAACCTGAAAAAAAGGAAATTACAGCTGGTAACTGAGGCCAGATACAGCTGTGGTGTGGATGGTATAAGAAGGAAAAGGAGAAAGCTGGAGAGGGCCTGAGGATGAGATGGCTGTGGAGGTGGTCACACAATTCAGATGAAGTATCTTATGGACCTGAGTCGTGGGGAAGATGCAGAACCTCCACTGCAAATGTGGTCACTAAAAGCTGCATGGGGTTACATTTTATAGTCCCAGGTTCAACTCACAACATTTTGAAGCTTTGTCATGGAGTTACACTGTGACTCTTAAAACACTTCTTTCCGTAGGTTCCATTTCCCTTCCTGCCCCTCTTCCATGGTGCTGACCCGTGTGGAGGGGAGGGGAGCCGTGGCAGGGAAGAGCCCCAGCTGGACACAGGGGCTGTGCCTTCTTGTGCACCCACTGCCTGATGGCAACAGGTGACCACCCTGTGATTGCCCTGGAGTCATCCCATGTGGAGGGACAGCTGTCCCGAGCTTTGCAGAACCTTCCAGAAGGAGCAGTGGCACATGTGAAAGGTGCTCCCATCACAGACTGGCTGCAAGCAGAGCTGTGAGAGACGTGGCTGGATCCCAGAGTGGTGATTTCTCTCCTGTGCTCTTTTTTTGTCCTTCTTTCATTCTTCTTCATATCTTTTCTCTTACTCTAAACAATCTGGTGGTGTAAAGTTGGGATACGTTCTAGGGCTTGAATAGTTGTGTGTTGTTGTACAGTTTGGGTATGTAATTCTGTTAAAATTGTGGTGAGTAATTTCTCTCCTCCTCCTCTTTTCCTTCGATTAATTAATTTGCAACAATAACAAAAGTTTTCCTAAAATAATATACCCACTCTATAAGTAACATAACTGGTTGGTTGGTGTCAGAGACATTCAGAACCTGCCTTGACACGTTCTTGTGTGAGCTAATTTAGGGGATCCTGCTCTGACAAGGGAGTTGGACTAAATGATCTCCAGAGGTCCCTTCCAACCCCTAACATTCTGTGATTCTGTATTTCTGTGTGATTCTGTGATCCTTAGTTCCTGTTATGAAGGGCCCTTATGCACCTCCTTCCTCACACTCTGGGCCTTACAGACTCCTCTTACAGCCCGAAAGTCATTCCTGCCATACTGGGACTGGTTTCCCTTTCTTCTGTGCTGGTCTAAGTCTGAACACACCAAAGCCTACAGAGGCTGTACAGGAAGCACAGAAGAGAATATAGCTGTGTGGTTCCTTAAGACAGGCTCTGGTGTACATACCCCTGCTGTTTGTTCCTAAATCTAACAGAAGAGGTTTCCTTACGTTGCATCTGAGTGGAGCTCAGATGTGTTTGGTGCCATTAGTAACAGAGCAATAAACCAGACGTCTTTCCTGTCCAGAGGGAAAACTAAACAGGGACCTGAATGCTAAATTCAGTTTTCAACTTTATTGTGATATTGTTTCTGGTTTGGATGTTTTCTGAGCTTCGGTTTTAGAGGTTTTCAAAATTATATCCGAAACGTCCATGTTCACCCAGAAATTGAGTGAATTCAGGGGAAACAACAGGTCTCTGAACAACTGTTACTTTGGTTTTGACGCTTCAGAGGATCTTATTAAAATAATAAATTTCCATAGGAACTGCTACTGCAGCACTTCCAGTTGTTTTTTTTCAAGGGGGCAGTTAGGCAAGGTCTGCTGGATGATATCAGCACATCTGGGCAGCTTGGAGACTGGGGAGTTTTTAGGAAAGAAGAAACAAACAGAAAAGAAACTTGAGGTTTTCTCAGCTTAGGCCGGGTAGTGGGTCTTGGAGACAGAACTGCAAAGTCTGCCAGCCCCAGGAGGGCCCTGCCTGACTCTGCTGTCCAAAAGGTCACGGAATTTGTCAGCCATCACAGACAGCAAGTAGATACTGATTGATGCAGTAGGGAGTGCAAGGCCAAGCACTAAATGCCTACATCATAGCTACAGTTTATATGTATGCTTTTGGGGATCTGCAGAGGGAGGGTTTGTTCCCCCTCTTGCCTAAGAACTGCTGCACAGCAGGCAGCTGCTGGATGCATTGGAGCAACTTCTGCTCAGTCCTGCTCATAGGAAAGCCATGGGATGCAGCATGCAGGGGGAGTGGAGCCTGCAGCGATGCTTGCACTTTACAGATACCACTTTGCAATTGTGATCTTTTTTACATCTCTAGATACAAGCAAGGGCAGCAGCTACTTGTTCTGTAGTTGAGACTCTTGCACCACACAGAACTGTAACATCCCTATCAGGTTCATAGGATGCCAGGACCTGAGTGATGGTGCATACATAAGCTCCTCTGGCCTTCTGGTAAAAGCAGATCTGCTCGTTCAAGTAAAAGTTCCTGAAAGGGCTGCAGAGGGAAAAAACAAATTGCTTTGGTTTAAGCTTCTGCACACATCTTCATAATATAACGGTTTTTCAATAAAGCCACCTCTTAAAGACATATTTAGAGGTCAAATATTAGTGGATAATCCATGTCTTCAAATGTAATTAAAAGCACTGATACAAAACAGCTTCTGTGCAGAAAGTTCCTGTGCCTGACTAAACTTTCAGGAGCTGGTCATTACTCTCACTCATAGAGTTGCTTAGATTGTGTTGATTCATAATCCTCTGTAAGAGAAAAATCAATGCTGGAGTGCTTTGCTTGTATAACAACAGACATTAGTGAGCCTGGAGTGCCTCTTCAATGAGGTAATACCAAGCAGTTAAAACATGTAGAGAGAGCCTCCTGAATTCATTATGAATCAATGTTCATCCTTTTAATATTCTTGCTTATGAGGAAACTTCTATATGGCTGGCCTTTTTCTCTGCCAGTTTACCTCCTTCTTGGTCTTTGTGCTCATTCCTTGGTGCTCCCCCAATGCAAGTTGTTGGAGGGGGTTACAGCAGAACAGCCTGTTGATCAGATCTGCATCAACTAAGTTGTATAGATTCATAGAATCGTGGAGTGGTTAAGGTTTAAAGAGACCTTAAAGGTCATCAGCTTCCAAGCGCCCTGCTATGAGCAGGGGCACCTCACACTAGACCAGTCTGCACAAGCCTCATTCATCCTGGCCTTAAACACCTCCAGGGAGGCGGCTCCCACAAACTCCCTGGACAACCTATTCCAGCACCTTTCTACCCTCATGGTGATGAATTTCTTCCTCATGTGTAACCTGAATCTCCCCTCTTTCAGTTTAAAACCATTACCTCTTGTCCTATCACTACCCTCTCTGGTGAAAAGCCCCTCCCCAGCTTTCCTGTAGGACTCTTCAAGTACTGGAAGGAGCTATAAGGTCTCCCTGGAGCCTTCTCTTCTCTAGGCTGAACAGCCCCAACTCTCTCAGCCTGTCTTCACAGCAGAGGTGCTCCACCCCTCTGAGCATCTTTGTGGCCCTTCTCTGGACCCTCTTCAACAGGTCTATATCTTTCCTGTGCTGAGGGCACCAGAGCTGTACACAGTATTCCAGGTGGGGTCTCACCAGAGCAGAGCAGAGGGGCAGAATCACCTCCCTGGCCCTGCTGGCTACACTTCTTTTGATGCAGCCCAGGATGTGTTTGGCTCTCTGGGCTCCAGCACACACTGGCAGCTCATGTCCAGCTTCTCATCTACTACCACCCTGAAGTCCTTCTCCTCAGGACTGGTCTCTAGCCATTCTCCCCCCAGCCTGAATTTGTGCCAGCCTTAATTCAACAGTAAGGTACCTACACGTAGAAGAAGAAAGCAAGAGGGAATGACTTATATCCCTCACAACAATGAAAATTACAATTTGTTAGCAGTACCAGCAGTATGACAACAATCTGCCCCTTTCTCTGATGGTTTCAGCTGGCCTGACCTGGGCATGCCTGTTAACTTCCTTCATGGTTTTCCAGATGGCTTTCTGGGGATAAAGTGCTTTGGCAGGAGTTGGTAAAGCAGATAATTTAACTCACTACCTTGTGAAAAATAAGGAGTTCAGGAGCAAGTGATGGTAAATCATGGTCCCTCTTTAAAGGCCATGTCTGTATGTTAGGACTTCTCACTCTGTACTCTCACTGGAAAAGACCTTAGCAGAAGCACAATTATTTTTTGAAAGTATAACTAATCTCAGCAGAATAACCTGTGCCTGTACCCCATGTGCTACAATTGTGTCTACTCCAGGTACTTTTTGTAGTGTAGCTGCACCATTCACCAGCCATATCTCCTGGCAAACGCTGTCCTTCAGAACTGCCATCAGGAAAAATATAGGACACATGCCTGATCTCCTGTTCTGCTTTTCATAGGCCACTCTAACTGCACTCTGCCTCAGTCCAGTTTCTTACTAACCAAGGTGTAGGAAGCTTATGCTGCTCAACTTTTTGACAAATCAAATGCATGCTGAAAATTGGTACCTGATGTAGTAATTGCATTGCAAGTTTTCTTGCATGTTTACTATGGGTTGAGGTATTTGATTATTTACAGAGGATTAAATACAAAAATAGACTAAAGCATTATTTGCAACAAAACAGGTTTTGGATGAGACTGATGGGCATCTTTTTATGTGTTACTTTAATGGCAGTAATTATCTAGGGATAAAAAAGCTCAGGGTTCTTGTGGCAAGTGTTTCAACAAGAGATGATGCGTTCTGCTAAAACAATTTTTTATGCTTAAAATCATAACTAGAATTAGTTTAGGCAAGCTGCTAATATACTGGCAAAACCCCTATCCTTCTCTTAGACTGCCAGATGTTTTATTGTCACTTGAACTGCAATGTAGTGTGAAGACTCTATTATTTTAATAAATAATTTGTTCTATTTTTTTTTGTTTTTCATCTCCCTCTCTAGGTTCAGCTCTATTATCCCTCTCCATAACCTGGGTTGTCATCTTATAGCTTTACATTCATGAATGCTGCACAGGAATACTCCCTGCTCTGAGTGGTATTGTTGAGGGACCTGGCAAAGGCTCTGCTTCTCCTTAGGAGATTAACTGCTCCAGAGGCATGCATCCATCCATCAGTGTGCTTTAAGAAGCAATGGTGTTAGATAAGGTTCCCAGCTGGAGGGGGAGGAATGCTACTTTTCCCACCAGAAAACGCCTACCCACTCCAGGGGTCTAAGGTCCATTTCTGCTTACATTTTCTGACATACCAGTGCTCTCTCAGGACGCAGGCAGATGAAACATCTTGAGGCTTCGGGGTCTCCTACACTCACAGACAATTCTTGAAACAGCCCCAAAACTTTGGAGATTATACATGTGCTCCTCAAAACATGAGGTTTGGTTCAGGGTAAGTTATTTGCACAGAAAACTACATTCTTCGCAGTTACCAATATGTGAAAGTTGTTACTGGTGCAAACTGCTCCTTTTCTCTGTCAATGGAATGCAGCAGAAGTGATGACAACTTATGCAAACAGTCTTCTTGGTACATGGGATTTTTTTCTAAAGAAAACACAGACGCATCATTTTGGGCCTCTGTTCTTTGGGAACTGCTCATACACTCAGTTCTTAATGAGCAAGCTAGGGAGTTTTTCCCTACCTCTGTCTTAATGTAAAGAAAATGTTTAAGACAGCCTTTTCCTTCTCAGTGATCCATAAAGCCAGTATATTTGCAAAATCATGCCCATGTCAGATTATTTTTATCATTACAATTGGTCTCCCAGTGGAATTTATTAACATGTTGCTGGCTATTTTCATCATTCACATGAAAATGAATCTACTGGGTATCACAGTACTCAGTTATTATGAGGTTTTTTGATGAAAGACTTAAATTGCATCTGAGAAATGTGAATTACAGGGCCTAATGTTCCCCCAGAGATTTTAATTTAATACACAAAAGGAACTGCTCACTCCCTACTGAGGTCATTACATGAAAATATTTTTTTCCAGCGAGAAGAGTAATTGGGACCACTGGAGCTTGTTTTCCTCTCTCTTTCGTCTCAAGAAAAAGGATGGGTCAGGTTTGTCTGCCTTCGAAAGTTTATAGATGTTGTGAGTGATCATGCCTAAGATTAATTTTGTTGATTCTACACAGAGCAAAGAACTTGTGAGTTCATGCTGTGGGTGTTGATTGGGGTAGTGGCCTCTCTTTATACCATTACAACATGGCACTGGAGGAAACCGCTGAGGTCCAGGTTCCCATAAGCCCAAGTACCCAAACCATGGTGGCAGCCTCCCCTCCCTGCACCAAACACCACCTTTGGAAGGCAAAAAACCCCTCAGAAAATGTAGTGAGTCAAAGAGAAGGAGGGTGTTGTTCCAGGAGGTTGCCCATGTCACAGGTCCCTGAAGGGGTTCATGGCCAAGCTAGTTGGCTGCCATGAGACAGAATCCTGGAATTGATCCCACCCATCTACTTTTCCCTGGTGACTCCTCTGTAGAAATCTGAACTTGAGGGCCAGGCAGTCTCAGGCAGATCCAGCAAAGTCCCTATGTACATTTTTTTAACTCCAGGATAAACAAACGTGCTGAGGTCACCCCCCCCCCAAGTTATGGCAGCGAGGGGGCCAGGGATGTCTGCAGGTCAGGCTGCGGGGTCAGTGAAGATGATCCCACAGCAGTCCCTGCTACAGTCCCATTAACCTCAGCAACTCAGCTCCTATGCATGGTTAAAATTCAAACACTTGATTAGGTGGTTTTCTGAACTGGTGCCAGAAAGAGCAGTGTCTTGGAGGACTGAGCCCAGCAATTCTCACTCTCTGAGAAATAAGGGGGGAAACAGATGAGCTGGAAAATGAAACAGCTTTGGACTGTTAGATCCAATGAGAAGGGCAAATTCCAAAGGCAAGGAACCCTGATGCACTCTGTGAGAAAGAATAAAACAACGACCAAAAAAAACAAAACCAAAAAGACCAAGGGAGTTCAGGGTTTCCATGCTGCAGCAATTCTTAGGGATGTGGTAATCATAACTTTGCATGGATGCAGGATATTTTTGCCCAGCAGAGTGATTCAGGACATTATTCATCTTGCTGGTTTTCATGCATAGATGATGTGTATCACTAGTGTGAAATTCAGCCTCTTATTTCTAACTTGAGAAGAACTTACAAAATAGTAAATTTTTTTAACAAAGCTCTCAGGAGAATGGGCAGCTAGGAAGCACATTTGCTCCCTGAGTACCTTTAAAGTCTCCTAACAGAAATAGATTACAACAATGATACTATAAAAAAGAATAAAAATATACCTCAAACAAAAGCAATATACTTCCAAAACAAGGCTCTCAACCACACAGGGTTCTCCCAGTGGGAAGAGGATGCAAGGACACCTGTTAGTCATGTCACTTAACTGCATGCCTGGAAAGCATTTAGATCTGATGATGATGGTGATGACACCATAAGACCTTATGCAGAACATAAATGCTGTGCTGCAAAAGGCTTTCACAATGGCATAGACAGAAACATTATTTTTTCCCCAGGGTTTAGGCACTGATTTCTTTCAGGATCCATTTAATTATTTTGTTTTAGTTCTGCTCAATCTGTATAGGAAAGCTTAGTAAAAGGACTGTTTGTTTTTATAAGGTTCCTCAGGGAAACCTTGAGACAAAATAGCAGTAATTTCTTCCCCATAGAACTCACCAAGAAAAATATCAGAGGAAGTAAAGGGGTAATAAGAGAAAGGGGAGGACTATCTTTTAAAAGCAATTGCTTGATACCAATACACAGTGAATGTATTTAATGTCATAAATGTAGATTTATTTAGGAAGATGAGAGAAGGTTGAGACTCTTCTAGCTAAAATGAAATTAAGACTGGGAAGTGAAAGAGGAGAGGGGAGGGAGGGGGAAAGAGAATCCCATTCGGAATGGTCTCATGGTCCTGGCAAAAACTTAATAGTTGGATCCCAGCAGGATGTTTGTTGCAGATGTTGACTGCCAAACCACTTGCTAATCTGGGGTCCTGACTGGTTTTCTTCCTCCTTAGAGGGTGACAGTTGAGGAAGAGACCCCTATACAGAAGCGCACATGTTTCTGGTGTGACCTTGCTTAGAGAGATGAGACAGGTTATGAAGTTGTGCTTCACTGAACATGTGAGGGCTTTATTTCTTCACTGTGAAGTGTCCAGGCTTGTTGGCCCTGAGTTCTTGATCCAAGTGGTCTCATTTTTCTTCCTATCCTCTGGCCATACTCCTGGCTCTGATAACACCTTCCTTCTTCCAGGCACAAGGATTCTGGCATTTCAGACTTATGCCTCCCACCCATGGCCCCCTCCTCACAGGCCTATCCTCATGCCCCAGCTAATAGCCTTAGGTTGCTGACTGGGGCTCCTTGCCAAGCCTGGGAGATTCTACCTTCACTGATGAAGAGGAAACTCCATCCAGACACTATCAGTATTTTTCTCATGATAGATCTTCCCTTCCAGCATCAAGGTATAATCTATGTTTTTAATCTGATTAAGAGACTACAGTGCCTGCAACTACAAAACACAACTCAGCAGTATTTTCTCATCTACATTTGTTTTGATCCTTCTGGGCCCTGAAATATCAAAGACTTACTCACGTTGCTGAATTTTAGTCTTAGCAGTGATAAGTTGTTCCTTTGACTTGATAGATGTTAGATTTTATGCTTTGCAGTTGGCTTGGTGACCATTGCCCCAGTCCTCAAGGGCACTACTTACACTGTGTCAAGCACATAAATCATGGCAAGTTTCAGGCTTGGACTTCAGGATAGAAATTTTCCCCTTGAAAATGTGTTGAAAATAGTTGGGTCCAGCTCTCAGCTGGGGATACTGGTGACAGATTGAGTGTCTCAAAAGAAGTAATGGTTCGGTGTCCAACACACACACCTTGAGGTGATACATCCATCACCCCAGCCAGGCAACAGGCCAGAGACAGGGAACTTAAAAGTAAACTCCAGTTCCGTAAATTTGTATGCTCATAAATTTTACAGCCATGGGGAGCATTAGGACTCTACCGTTTGTTTAATGCAGGCCAAAGAGTCTCATTCAACAAATTCTGCATCAGGCTTGGAAGTTCTGATTGAGCCATGGAGAAAGTTATCCAAATGTTGACATAAGACTGCAAAGAATGGGCAGAATCCCATATTGAACTCTTCTCCTATTGGCTTTGTATCTTCATTTGCCTTCTGTCTGTAACTCTGCACATGTCTCACTTAAGCTTCCAGCTTTTCCTTTTTGCTTCTTTTTTTGTTCTTTGCCAGGTTGAATAGCCTTCCTTCCCCAAGAAATCCCCAAACCCTCATTTGGGTTCTTCCTGTGATAGTTTAGTTTTCCAAACTACCAACAGCTATACTTCTCTCTGCTCTTTCTTGGGCAGGCTGCCATTTTGTGGCA